GGGCTACACACCCCTTAGTTCGAACTAGCTAGTTCGAACTAGGCTTAATCCTCGTAAAATGAGGTTTTCCTAGTTCGAACTAAGCGCTCCGTTAGTTCGAATTAAATTCGAACTAACGGAGCGCTAGTGTAGCGCCTATGAAAGTTAGTTCGAACTAACGTTCGTTAGTTCGAACTAACTTTGTAGTGTAGACATACCCTAACTGATAAGCATGAGCTTATTGATTACTGTAAAGGTACACACCAGCTCCCAGCCCCACTCCCGCGAAGCCAGCTGCCACTCCGCAATGCTGGTTCTGTATCAGAGCCCGCAGCATGGGCTGGCAGCTGGCTCCCCAGGAGCGGGGCTAGGAGTGGGACTGGGAGCCAGTATGTACTGGCTCCCCAGGAGTGGTGCTGCAGGTGGGAGTGGGTGTGCGCCGGGAGCTGAGTTCTGGCATGCACCTGCTCCTGGGGAGCTGGCTGCCACCCCACGCTGCAGGCTCTGCAGTATAAAGCTTATATTGCAGAGCCCACATCACAGCCAGCTCCCTGGGAGCAGGGCCGGGAGCCAGCTCCTGGCACGCACTAGCTGCCGGCCCTGCTTCTGAGGAGCTGGCTGTGCTTCAGGCCCTGCAGTACAAGCTTTCCATGGTTACATGCTGTGGGCTCTGCAGTATAACCACTAAGATTTGCAGCAGATGCACGGTTACTAAATTAGCCACTTTTTAACATCCCTAGTCAGAACCTCTGTGTGATTTCTAGTCTCCCCGTGGGACTGTAATAAACAGCAATGCCCACACTCTGAATAATCCCTCCCACATGTTCAGCACCTGGGCGACTCCCCTGCAGAATGGTCTCTGAAACATGCAGCTCCTGTGACCGTGTGGTGTTTTGTCAGGATTCCGCCCCAGGACATTTTGTATCTGGACAAGAGAGAATTTGTCTTCACTGATCCCCAGTCAGAGCAACTGGGACAGGTGGCTAGTGTGTGGTATGAGGCTGATCCTACCTCAGCAATAATTGATTTATGCTCTTCACACTCTGATTCGGGGCTAGGAAACGTGCCTAACAGAGCAATTAATTCTGTTCCCAACCACACACGTCAGTCTGTCTGAATTACTGTCCATTCTGCCTTCAGTCAACAATTTGGGGGTCTTCTGAGACAACTTTATCCAGCTATCCGCCGGCTTAACTGGGAGCACAGAAACACTCCTCTCGCCTTGAATCTCCACAGTCCTGTGCAGAAGGGATTATGGCTGTTACAGGTTGTCAGGGGAGATGTTACAGGGCTGAGTTTCAGTTACTCCAGCAACCTTAGCTGCTTGTTCAGCTCTTTGCGGAAGTTGAACCTTAACTTTGAATTGCAAGTTGCAAACCAAACCCCATGCACTCTTTGAATTGAAAATGTCTCCTACTCTTCATTGAGCTCTAATTCTGACATGCCCCAGGTGACCTTGGACAAGTCCCTTAACCCATCTTTGCCTCTATTTTCCAGTTCATAAAATGGTGAGTGACACCAGGTCAGCTGAAGGGAGAGGAAGGAAGGAGGCAATTGCCCCAGAGGCTGGAGAGTCAAAGAAGCCCAGAGCTCACAACCTCTGCTACTGTGGCAGCCAGAGCCCCAAGCCAGTTTGAACTGCTGCTGGAGTGCTGCTCCGCACAGCTCTGCGGGCTGGGGGGAGGTACGCTGCAGTCTGGGCAGTGCTAAGGGCTGACTGCCCACGGCCCTGCCTCTTCTGCCCTTGGCCTTCAGGGGCACAGAGCTACCTCCCACTCTGCCCCAGGCCCCGTGGTGGCACTCAGCCCTGCTTAGTGATACTACTGAAAAATATCCTGTAAAGCTCCTTGTTTTCTGCTGGCAGAGGACTGTTGCATACCAGTAGTTACTGCGGTGCATGAAGCAGTGAGCTGAGTTGTGACACAAGTGCCGATACTTGGTAGGGAACAGATTGCTTTGTTATGGGAAGTACTTGAAAAGCAGACTCCGATCAACACAGCTGAGTGATAGCTTTGGTCATAAACTCAAAATGCAAACAGAATCAACGCCGAACCCAGCTCTCCGCGTCCCACTGCCGCTTCAGCAGCCACCTGCCCATTCAACTCTCTGGAATGCTCCCATGATCAGCTTATGCAATGGAATCCTACAGCCAGCTGTGTACAAGCACCCCAGGGGTCTCCACACCCATCCTGATATAAATCATTCTGGAACCCCCTTGCTGGCCTTCATATAACCCTCCAGCAACTTCAAGTTCATCATCAACAGCAAGTTAACCATAGACTACTGGTGCATAGCCACTCAATGCAGCCCCAGACCCTGCCAGAACAAGAGATGTAAAATCTTCAGACAGCTCTCCATCGCTAAAATGATCAACACTCCCCACAGCACAGCTTTCAAGAGTGATGGATATTACACATGCCTTATCACAACAGGAGATGCACCTCATCCAGGGCACGAAATGCCCCCAAACCAGCTATGTGGGTGAGACCAGACAATCGTTAGACTGGAACTCACAGGAAAATAATTATCACTTGTGGGCAAACACTTCCCACAAAGCAGTCTCTCTGACCTATCAGCCCCCCTCTTCAAAGAAAACCTGGACAACTCTGTAAAAGACAAGCTTGAGAGTTTGAATTCGTAAATTTGCTAGCCACTACAAATAATGGCCTGAACAGCAGCACTAGATTTATGGCTTTTTACAACAATCTGTAACCCACAAATCCCCTCTTCTTGTCCTATGACTGCAGAGGTGTCAATGGGCATGTGACAGGGCGGACAAGGCCCTAAGCCCAGAAAGAGCCATAGCTAAGTCCTCCAGGAGGCTAGAGAGGCTGTGGAGGAACTGGCCAATCAGGGCCCAGGAAGGCCTACAAAAGGAGCAGCAGCAGTTGGTGTGGGGGCAGAGCTTGAGGTGAGCAGACTAGGGATGCCAGGTGTCCAGTATTTTTTCCTTCTGTCCGGTAAAAAAATCCAGAAAATACCAGACACCTAAAATGTCTGGTATTTTCTGATTCTCTCCCCCCCCCCCAGGAAGGGGTCCCCAGACACCACCTTCCTCCCACCAACACTTACTTGGTTCCGTAGGGGCTTGTCTTGTGGCTGGAGCAGAAAAACAAAATGGCCACTGGCAAAAAAGCCTTTTCTTAAAGGGGCCATGCTGATTTTTAATTTTTTTTTCTCAAAAACTTTGGTCTCCCCCTTTTTTTTTCCTCAACAGAATTTTTTCCCGGTGTGTTTTTTTTTGGGGGGGGGGTTGGTATTTTTGGTTAAACCATCTGGCAACCCTATAGCAGACTGTGAGGCTGGCTGAGGAAGTTGCCTTTGGAAGGGCAACTCCTGGAGGTAGCACTCTCTCCAAGTGGGGAAAAGAGCACGAGGGGAAACAGAGAGACAAACTTGGAGACACCGCCAGAGGGCACCGGGATGGGCCCCTGTGAGGCGTATACCCTGGGAGGGGTTATGATTACACAGTGTGAGACTCGGCCAGAGGGCTAAGTAGCCAAAAAGGCTTTTAAAGAGTCGGTGCAGGGCAAACTTATTTGACCAGAAGGGGGATGCTCACGAGAGGTGAGTGCCACCCTGTTACAGAGCAACTCGACCTTGAACCTTTTGAATGGGGGTCTCAACGTTTTTCTTTGAAGCTTCCCCCCCAGCATGCTCTAGAAACTCCCCGGCCCACTTAGAACATAAGAACGGCCGTACTGGGTCAGACCAAAGGTCCATCTAGCCCAGTATCCTGTCTACCGACAGTGGCCAGCACCAGGTACCCCAGAGAGGGTTGACCGAAGACAATGATCAAGCGATTTGTCTCCTGCCATCCCTCTCCAGCCTCTGACAAACAGAGGCCAAGGACACCATTTTATCCCCTGGCTAATAGCCTTTTATGGACCTAACCTCCATTAATTTATCCAGCTTCTCTTTAAACTCTATTATAGTCCTAGCCTTCACCGCCTCCTCTGGCAAGGAGTTCCACAGGTTGACTACACGCTGTGTGAAGAAGAACTTCCTTTTATTAGTTTTAAACCTGCTCCCCATTAATTTCATTTGGTGTCCTCTAGTTCTTCTATTATGGGAACTAATAAATAACTTTTCTTTATCAGCCCTCTCCACACCACTCATGATTCTATATACCTCTATCATATCCCCCCTCAGTCTCCTCTTTTCTAAACTGAAAAGTCCCAGTCTCTTTAGCCTCTCCTCATATGGGACCCGTTCCAAACCCCTAATCATTTTAGTTGCCCTTTTCTGAACCCTTTCCAAGGCCAAAATATCTTTTTTGAGGTGAGGAGACCACATCTGTACACAGTATTCAAGATGTGGGCGTACCATAGTTTTATACAGGGGCAGTAAGATGTTCTGGGTCTTATTTTCTATCCCTTTCCTAATAATTCCTAGCATCCTATTTGCCTTTTTGACCGCCGCTGCACACTTGTACCACAGCAACCATTTTTCTGCATATAAAAGCCAGGGCCAGCATCAGAGGATAACAAGCAGGGCAATTGCCCAGGGCCTCACGCCACAGGGGGCCCCATGAAGCCACATTGCTCAGGCTGTGGCTTCAGCCCCCCTGAAACCTGCTCCAGATCCCTGGGACCCTGGTTGAGAACCCCTTACCGTAGAATACATGCTAACTACGTATGCTAAATAATCTGTTGCCCCTTGTATCTAGGTGTGTGGGGTACCTTTCCCAGAGCTGGAGAAGGGCCCTGTGTGTCTTGAAAGCTTGTCTCTCTCACCAACAGCAGTTGGTCCAGCAAGAGAGATTCCTTCACCCACTTTTTGTCTCTTCCCAAAATCAAGGGTAACTACTGGACAGTAGGGAGATTAGAAAATGTTCCATTTGGCCGGTGGCTGTAGACGTCCCTTCCACTCCTGCCTTTGTTTCTATGATCCCATGTTTGTCTGTTTCCAGTAGCGTTCATCTTGCAGGCAGAGAGGTTCAAATGCAATCTTAAACCAAGCAGTCTGCATGTGCCAAGCGGTATCATCTGTCAGAGTGCAGTAAAACAGATCCGACCAGGTCTAGCATTGAAGTAATCACTCAGGAGATACCATCTTCTCCCTCCAGAGAGAATGAGATCCTAGGGGGTCCTACTCAACTGCTCTGACCTGGGAGCCAACAGCACACCTCTAGACCACATGCTCAGGAGCTCAAAATGTTGTCCTCCCCAACATGTGTCTCCTGCTTGCTCTCTCACTCGGGCAGCTGAGGCAGCACAAACAAGCTACTGATCAGGAATGGAGGTTGACATTTGTGAGCGACTTGCTGTGTTCACTGCAGTGCATGTGGCTCACTAACCAGCCACAGTGTGTCAATGCATACGTGTGTGTGGAACCAGTCTCTAGAAGTGTCCCCCTCAGCAGTTTCAGGCCATTCCTTGAGGTAGGCATGACCAGGAAGGAGAACACTGACCTATCACTAAATGGTGGGGACTAGGTAGAGCAGATATTTTTGGAGGCAGGGACTCAGAAGTACCCAGTGCAATTAATTGCATTTTAAAACAAATATCTTACACTTTTTGCAAACCTAGGGAGTGGCACCAAGAGGTAACAATAGGTTGTCCAGTGTTGTGTTTGATAAAGATTGAGGGAAGTCCATTGCTCAGCCGCCTTGGCAGGCGGTACAGTTGTACTTAACAGAAGGTTTCCCCCACACCTTAAATGCAAGAATGGGATGAATCAGGTTTATACAGTGAAGGAGGCTGTTGTGTAGGTCTCTTGCTTGGCCTGTTGCAAAAGTTGGAAAGTACGAAACAGGAGTCTACAGGGAGAGAAAGGATTGTCTCATAGCTAAGACAGGTGAATGCCACAGAGAGAAAACAAATTCCACTTCTGCCTCTGCTACAATTTGAATGTGTGGCTGGTTAAGCCATTTAAAAGCAATATTTTCACAGTAGCACAGTCTGGAAATCTGTTGTGTTCTGCCCTGCTAATGCATCAGACAGGAAGTGCCAATGACATCAGCAAAACCAGGGAGCTGGACACCACATGGAGAGCTGTCAAATGCTCAAAAGAAACGGTAGAGAACATTCCTCCCCTCCCCCCGCTTTTATTGCTGATGACGTTCATTGTGGTTACATGGACAGTCCAGAATTTCCAATCACAAACTTATTTTCAAGTTGCAAATGACCTTTTCACCCTGCGTAATGTGTGTGTCTTCTGCAGATGCTAACAAGGGGAAGTCACCGCCTGGTTTGCCACTCTTCAAAAGTCTCTGAGCAGCCATTTGCAAAAGCAAAAAAACTGTAAATCAAAGGGGGTGTTATTCCTGATTTTGCTCATAGAAATTAGGGGCTCTACCTCCAAAAATGGAAACACTAGTAGACTTGGCAGGTGCAGTTCTCAGAGGCTGGCTTGTATGACGTTGCTAACACTAGACTCTGAGCACCTGTTTTCATGCATTTAGGGACTTATGGTCTCTTGGACATAATTTCGGAAGCCCCAAGGGGAGGATTGATGTGTTTGAACTTTTTGTCCCTAACTGTGCTCTTCCCTCATAATGGCTTCCGAAAACAAAGGGGAAGGTTTTTTGGCTGTTGTGTCATGGCACGAAGTATGCGAGGTTAAGAGTTAGTCAACTTGATCAGCTATCAAGTACCTACTGTGAGAGAAAACAGGACTATGTAGCACTTAAAAGACTAACAACATGGTTTATTAGGTGATGAGCTTTTGTGGGCCACTTCAAGTGGGTCTGGCCCACGAAAGCTCATCACCTAATAAACCATCTTGTTAGTCTTTTAAGTGCTACATAGTCCTGTTTTCTCTCACAGTAGGTACTTGATAGCTGATCAAGTTGACTGAGAGAATATTCCTGATGGTAGAGGGCTCCTTAGTCTGACAGACGAAGGCATAGCAGGATCTAGTGATGGAAGAGGAAGCTAGATGAATTCAGACTGGAAATAAAGCACATAAGGTAAATTGGTGCAATTTCTGCAGGGCTTTGTCAAATTCTCGGTCATTGATTTAGGATTAGGAAATGTTCTCAAAGACGTACTCTGGCCCAGTGATTCTCAGCCTTTCTAGATGACTGTGGCCTTTGTAGGAGTCTTTGTCTTGTGCACCCCGAGGTTTCACCTTTCTTAAACTACGAAATCACACCTAACAATTCAGCATCCCAGCACGCTGTTACTGAAAACTGGCACTTTCTCATTTTCACCATGAAATTATACAATAAATCAACTGGAATATAAATATTGTATTTGTGCCATTGTTTGAAGGTTTAGTTCGCACTGACCTTGCTAATGCTTTTTATGTAGCCTGTTGTAAAACTAGGCAAATATCTAGATGAGTTGATGTCTGCTCTGGAAAACCTCTGGGCACCCTCAGGAGCACACCTACCTCTGGTCAAGAACCACTGCTCTAGCTCAGGCAGAAGTCCTCAGACGCTAGGTAGCACTCATTGGGTGAGATCTCCTTATGCGAGAGGTTGGACTGGATGAGGATGGTGCTTCTGCCTGTAAAAAACCCCAAACAAGACCTCCCGCCCCAATCAATCTCTGGAATAGTGCCTTCTTGCTCTTTTACACGTTCCCGCCCATTCGGGTACTCCTTTGCGACATGACTGAAGGATCTGTCATCTCCTCCTGTCCTGCTTTCTGCTGAATATCCTTTGGAAACAAGACGAGTAGAAGGCGGGTGAGAGGCCAAACAAGTTTACTTTTATCAGCTAATTTGTCTCCTAATTCCCTAAATGCCCCCAGACAATAGCTGGCAAAGAAGCCTTTGTGCGTGTCAAGGCTGCTCCCCACATCGGCACTTTGAGTGCAAAAGGTGGGGGCCTGCAAGAGTCTTTAAAATACACTGCCTCTAAAGGTCACAGATTCCCAGGCCTTTGGTAGTTCACTGCCACCACCCAAATGCAAAAACCCCTTTAAGAACCCAGGAAGGTGCACTTGGGAATTTCTTCCTGTGGGTGCCCTCAAACTCTTTAACCCTCCCTCTGGCGAGAGCTTGAAAACAAACTGGAATTTCTTAAGAGCAGACCTTTTGGTCTCAAGCGCATGCACACACAACCCCCTGCCTTCTCGGGCACAGGAATCAGATCATGGTCTTAACAAGGTGATTTTATTAACCAAAAACAACAACAGAAGATAGACTTGGTAAAGCGTATTTGGTTACTAGGGATTACAGATATCAGAGGGGTAGCCGTGTTAGTCTGAATCTGCAAAAGCGACGAGGAGTCCTGTGGCACCTTATAGACTAACTGAAGTGTAGGAGCATAAGCTTTCGTGGGCAAAGACCCACTTCGTCAGATGCATGTCATCTGACGAAGTGGGTCTTTGCCCACGAAAGCTTATGCTCCTACACTTCAGTTAGTCTATAAGGTGCCACAGGACTCCTCGTCGCTTTTAGGGATTACAGAACAACTGAAAAAGGCAGATTAAAAACAGAATTGCGTCTCTGTCATTCAGTTTAAAAGTTACAGTGAAGGGGAGGAGGGAAAGGCTACCTGAGCTCTGCACAGGGCATGGGAGGCTACCTTCTCTGGCTTGGTAGAGCAATGGAACAGATTACATGTGGCTTTTGGAGAAAATGCCGACTGTCAGGCCATCTCAGTTTAAAGACTTTACAGTCTCTTATCCACATAAGAACGGCCACACTAGGTCACACCAAAGGTCCATTTAGCCCAGTGCCCTGTCCTCTGATAGTGGCCAACGCCAGGTGCCCCGGAGGAAATGAACAGAATGGGGAATCATCAAGAGATCCCTCCCTTGTTGCCCATTCCCAGTTTCTGAGTAGCAGAGGCCAGGGACACCATTCCTACCCATCCTGGCTAATAGCCATTGATGGACCTAACCTCCATGAATTTATTTTGTTCTTTTTTGAACCCTGTTATAGTCCTAGCCTTCACAACCTCCTCTGGCAAGGAGTTCCACAGGTTGACTGTACGCTGTGTGAAGAAAAACTTCCTTTTGTTTGTTCTCAACCTGCTACCTATTAATTTCATTTGGTGACCCACAGGACTTTCTTAGTTAGGCTCTGAGGTAGTTGGTGTCCTGTTTCTGAATGTCTCCAGGATCCCTTGGTGAGTGTGTTTTGGCAGACTCCCAGCCATAGGACAGCTGCCCGGAGTTCAGTGCACACCTTCACATGTTTCTGGATATTCCAGCAGCAGCAGATGCTGGCTTTGGGGAGCAGGTTCTGTCACTGTTCAGCACTCAGGGTTCCTCTGCTTTCTGGCTAAGGGAGGTCCTGGTGGCCAGGTGCTTGTGGTGAAGCTCTGTGGAAGCAATGGAGGGGCGGGGAAGAAAGGCTCACTTACCAACAGTAGCTCTTGCTCTCAAGTGTGTGGGCTGCCTCAGACCTAACCTCTCCCTCCCCCCCACTTCCTCCCGTGCCCCAGATGTCTCTGGAGGTAGAGGAGCCAAGGGAAGATGGGAGGGGGAATTCACCCCTTCAGTCTGTGTGGGGTGTTGGGCCCCAGGGAATGGCACAGGCCTCATACTGCCAAACCCTGCTCCAGAATGGTTCTGTGGACAGGTGTGTGGCTCCTTGGAGAACAGGCTCAGCTCCTGGGAAGCACCTCCCCAGCGCCCCTCAGGTAGATGGGTTGGCGCTGGAGTGGTTTTGACGAAATGGTGAGCTCTGTAACCTGTCACCACGAGGGGATGGAAACCACGGATGCCGCTGTGAAATATGCTCGCCACCTGCTCCTGCCGGGCCTGGAGCCAGAGCGTTACGAGCCGGGAGCGTCTTCCTTCAACATGCAAATCCCGCCGCGGAGCTTGGAGGTGCAGGTTGTGTCAAACTCTGCTGCAAACTCACTTGTTGCCGGTCAGTATGGGCGAGGCCCCAGCCCTGCCCCTCAGGGCCCGCAGCAGGGCCCACTGTCCGATGTGCCCTCTAATCAGAGTACCCAGCTTCAGGCAGGCATGGACAGCTCAGGTGCTTTTTGGAAATCCAGCCTTCCCGAATGTTCTTACCTGTACTCTGCAGTTAATGACAGTTTTATTTCACCGCTGTGGTTAGTTTACAGTGGCGCTTGCTTCTCCTGACGGGCAGTCTAAGGCAGCTATGCCCTTTTAATAGAGACTCTGACCTGGGCAAGATGACTTATCATTAATATGTTGACATAACGGTGTGTTAATTTCTGCTGTCTTCCATGCTTTTTGGTCTAATGGTTTTGTTTGCTGTTTCTGCTTAGCTTATCAGGCAACAGATTATCTCCCTCCAGCTTTGGAAGGTAAACCGATATTCTATTAAACTTCCCTGACCAAACCCTCCCTGGGCCCATGGCTTGGCATGACTAACCTTCGTGCGTTGGTACTAGCTGAAGAGAGCATGGCACTTACACAATGTGCACCCGGGAATTTCTGCATGCAGGAGTCACTAACACTTTCTCACACTGCAAATAGCAAGACTGGAGTTTATTGCTTACCATTCTGAGAGATGCAAGGAGTATCCGTCCCCCCCACGGTAAGGGTGAGGGAGGTCTGTTCAGCTATTTCTTCTTATTAAAGAGAGACGTTCACACAGGGATACGCTTTGGAAAATGGACATGCCACCTGGCTCAAATAAGAGTTCCCTTTTCTCCACAACCTGCCACACAGCCCAGCTCCTCCTGGGCTGGACTCTGCAGTGAAGCCGTATTTGTGCGATAAGTCCGTTGTCAGTAGGAAAAGATGGCCTGTGGAGGGGGAACATGCTTGCAGAGTAGAGGTGTCTGTCCTGCGAAGCAGGGATTCTGCAAGCAGTTTGGCGCTCACGGTGGATAATCCACAGAACGTGAGCTCTAAGTGTGACACTGGCCAAAAGTGCCAATGTGATTTTTTTTTTCCCAAAGAAGAAAAGGGGAATTTTTAATGGGAGTAGAAGGTCTTTTCTCTCTCTATTTGGTCTGCCCGCAACTGCTGCTGGAGTACTGTGTCCACACCTGAAGAAGGACACTGAAGAAACGAGGGGGCTCAGAGATGAGCTGTGAGTCTGATAAGTTAATGAGAGGATTGGACACTGTTCCATAGAGTGATCCATTCCAGGAGCTCTATCTACGGAGCTTAACAAAGGGAAGGGGAAGGGGCAACCTGATCCCAGTCTGTAACTACCCATATGGGGCCCCAACATTTACTAACGGGCGCTTTCCATCGGGAAGAGAGAGGTATAACCTGATCGAAGGGCTGGAGGCTGAAGCTAGACAAATTCGGTCTAGCAGAAGGTGTGAATTTTTAACAGCGTAGCTATCTACTGGAACATTTGACAGGGGCCATGATGGGTTCTTCATCACTGACCATGTTTAAATCTGGCTGGCTGTCGTTGGGAGAGCGCTGCTCCAGGACTGATTTTGGGGCGGCCCTGTGGCCCGAGGTGTACAGGAGGCCAGACTAGCTGTTCACAGCTGTCTCATCTAGCCCTGGACTCTGTGAATCCCCTGCTAAATCTGTAGGTGATGTTGGTTCTGGCCGCTGTTCGAGATCCTTAGGCAGCTGTCACAGCTCAGAGGCCTGACAACGGGCTCAGCTGTGCGCCCAAGCTTGGTGTATCCAGTTACGCGGTAAGAATGCAATGACGCGAGGGGAGGTGATGAAAGGAGCTGCCTTTCCAGCCCTCAGGACTGAAGTTCTCTCCCTAAACAGCTCAGTCTCAGTGCTAGCTTCCTGCCTGTGACCTAGGCAGGCCCCCTAAGCGTTGGGGAGTACAGGATGCTGGGCCCTTCCCTTTGCTCCTTCTGCTGAGACTGCCTGCACCGACGCCTGCTAGTGCCATTCACGGAGCCGTCGGGAACGATTTCTATGAATCTCCCCACCCCCAGCCTCCCCTGCATGCCAGCTGACCACTTAAGCCTTTCCTTACTGAAGAGGGCACTGCTGCTGCATGAACGGTGTTGCCAACTCTATGGCAGTACTTGGTGTTTCTCTCCAAGCCTGAGTTCCTGGAGTCCTGGGATTTATACGAGACTGTCCCATGTTAAGAAAGCATAAATTTCTGTCCTGGTTGCAGAGGAAAAACCGGAAAATATGATCCCAAAAGGCCCCTGCAGACCAGAATGCAAAGAACCACATTTTTAAAATGCCAGGAAATTTAAAAAATTATCGATGGAAATCTCATGATTTCTTGGGGAACCTGATTTTAAAATCCCTTCGTGTGAGACTGGCAATACCGAACCAATACGCACTGCAGCCATTCAGCGCCACACATGAACAGCGCCAAAATAGCTCTATGGCGCATCTCACGAACGTCATAGACTGTGGCTGCTGAGCCAATTCAGGCTAATGCTTCAGTCTGAACTTGCTACACCCACGTCTTACAGGGCGAGAGCTTACAGGAGGCATGGTTCCTAAGGCCTAGATTCTGTGGGTATATATGAACAAAGGGCCGTCACTGGAGCGTGATGCCCTAAAGGCCTTTTGCTATAAACTCTGGCCTTTGAAATAAGGGGCACGTACTTGTCCAAAGGATCGTGTCCATTCAAACTTGGCCCCAATCCTAAACCAATGGAAGAACTTCCACAGTTAAAATGGAATTGCAATAAAAGGCGACCTCTGCCCCTACAGTGCAAGTGACCTTCTCACCTCAATGCTGCCAGTCTAAAAGTGTAGGTGCCTTCTCTGGTTTCTTTAATGTCCTTGTCTCAGAAACACAACAGGTAAACATAACATAAACAGTGATAAGTGATCTGGCTTTTCACAGTTCTTGTGCAGCTGATCTGAAGTGTTAGTCAAAATAAACAAATGGGAAGTTTTACAAATGACACTTAAATTGGCGGGGTCCCTTTCAGTAGCTAACCAGCTGCATTTGCAGTGTTCCCGGCTCCAGCAGCCAAGCAGTGACCGTGAGCAAGGTATGAACCCAGTGCCAGGGAGGGAGTTCAAAATGAGAACATTAGACTCCAGTGAGAAGCAAGGAGGGACATCTGAAGGCAGGTGTGGGGTTGTTACAGATTGAAGGCCAGACGGGAACAGCAGAGCCTCTGATCTGATCTCCTGTAAATCACAGACTGCCAGCTCCTGCATATTAAACCCAGCCACCAAAATTAGATGAAAGCACGAGCATGATCTCCTGTAAATCACAGCCTGCCAGCTCCTGCACATTAAACCCAGCCACCAAAATTAGATGAAAGCACGAGCATTTCAGCCCACAGGTCACTGACTGTTCTGTGCCTCGGCCAGAGAAAGCAGGGACCAAGATGCACCAATGCCCAGAGCAGGGAATTTATGCCCAGATAATGCTGGCCAGTCACCCACATCCGCATGCTGCAAAACAAGGTGGAACTCTCTCCTTCCCAAGGTTACTGCCAACCTGAATGAGGGGAAGATGACCGTCCTGGACGGTGACCGTAGCTTGCAAGGAACAGCCAGCAGGGGAAAGCCCTTTCATTTGTTTCTCAAAACTTCGTCTGAGCTCTAAGAAACACTTCTCCATTCTTTCAGGAGCACCTTCTGCACAATCATTGCTCAGCTGACGGAGGAGACCCAGCCGCAGTTTGAAACGACCCTCAAATCTCGCGCCGTGTCTGAGGACTCTGATGCCAAATTCACGTGCATAGTGACAGGTAACAGTGCCATCAGCAGTGCAGCTCGCCCTGCCCAATCCTTTGCTGCGCAAAGTTAGTCGTTAGAAAACCGGAGGAAGGATGGAGGGGAGGGAACACCAGCCCCAGTGTTGCCAGCTCTCTGTTGTATTGGAAAATAAATTTTCATTGAATGGCTGGAAGTTGAAGCTAGACAATTCAGCCTGGAAATAAGGGGTAGTCTTTTAAACAGTGAGAGCGATTAATCATTGTGGCAAGGGAGGTTTAGGTTGGACATTACGAAAACCTTTGTAACTGTCGGGGGGTATGTCTACACTACCCTCCTAGTTCGAACTAGGAGGTGGGGTTGTTAACACTGCAGCGTCCTCACTGATTAGCTGCAGACAAAAAGCTGCACCGGAGAGAGGCTGGGGTCAGGTTCGAACTATTTTTGAGAGTGGATTCTTGGAGGTTTGCTGGCTCAGGCGTGTGCTGTTGAATCTTGGCGTGTTAAAGAGCCTGTTTGGACCTTCCCCTTTGATCTCACACAGCAGTGTGACAGCCCGTGTCAGCCATTTTGGCTTGAGGGACTGCTTCATTGCTGTGTAGCCTGGATAGCCAGGGCAACCCACGACCATTTCTGGAACCATCACCAGAGAAAACACAACTTGCTCCTCACATTTAGGGGGCCAACTCTGGGCCATTTGGCTGGTGTTTGCTAAAGTTATTTCCTCTGCTGGAACAGTGTGTCCATTTCTTGTGTCCACAAATTGAGAAACTTGGGGTGACCTTGAAAACTACAAAGGGGAAGACGTTTAACGGCGCTAAGTGCAAGTCAGGCACGTAGAGACTGACAGCAAGAATTTTTGCCATAAATCGGTGTCCTTATCATTTGGAAGGGACCGAGGAGGAGAAAGACCTGGGTGCCTTAGTCATTCACAGGATGACTGAGCCGCCAATGTGAGGCAGACATGCAAAACACAGCTGCTACCCTAGGCTGCAGCAGTAGGGACAGGGAAGTGTTCTTGCTATTGTACAAAGCATTGTAAGACCTCAGCTGAATACTGTCTGCAGTCCTGGTCTTTCATGTTTAAGGAAGATGAATTCAAGCCGGAACAAGTGCAGAGAAGGATACCAGGACAATCAGGTGGGTGGAGAACCAACCTTACGAGAGGAGACTTGGGGCATGTTATGGGCTGCATTGCATGGCAGTGATCTTATCCAATGAGGGTCAATTTATTGCATCTAAAACAAACACCTAGAAACTAAGGGGCACCTTGTTAAGAGCGAGGGTAACTAACCATGGAAACAACTTAAGAAGAGATGTGGTGGCTTGTCCATCCTTGGAACATGTTTGATCAGGATCAGATGGGTGTGCTCTAGTTCAAACCAGAATGAATTCGGGCCAGCCACATGGCCTGAGTGGTACAAACATACCAGCCCCTTCTGGCCTTTGCTAGGAACTGGTGAGCAAACCCCTCTAACCCGCTGCAGCCCTTCCAAGGAAAATGCGATGAAGAATTTAACTCCCCTGATTGGAAGATTAGGCTGGGCGAAGGCAGAACATCAGACTAGTAACATCAGCCCCTCTGCTCTTCAGTGTAGAATGTTGCAGTCCAGCGAGACTCTTGGCTGCTAAACTAGCCAGATTGGGGCTGTCAGAAACCGGGCTTGGAATCTTCCCCCGGTCAGCTTAGGCCAGGTATGCTTTTGTGGTCCACCTTGGAGGCCACCTCCCCGGTGGTTTCACTCTTGCAGGTGGGAGAGAGCTCCCACAAGCTAAGAATATTATGGCCCAGTTTCCAGAGCACGGGGACCCCTGGCGTGGCATGTTGTAGCAGGGTGGACAGGCATAAGCATGAGCTCAGAGTACAGGGTTTACTCTGCCGCTTGGTGTGTGACAGGTCACTGGGTGGGGACAGCCTACAGGAAAGCTAGAGCACCACCAGCTAGAACAAGACTGATCTGATTGTGGCGTGAAGTATCCCTGGATTCCCGTGTCCGCGCAGTTCTCTGAAAGCGCCCTGCAGCAGCAAGCCCTAGGGCTTGGGTTGGCTGAGTCGGGCTTGTGCAGCTGACGTGCTACAAGGCTACAACTAACAATGGAGATGCCCCTGCTGAGGCAGGCACCCAGGTTCTGACACCTGGGAAGTGGGGAGGGTCTCAGGCCAGGCCTCCCCTGAGCAGGCACGTCTGCATGGTGGCTTGAGACCCTGAGCGCGAGCCTGGAACGCGAGCAGCACTACAGCATGGGGTCGGCAGGAGCTTACATTGCCCTAAGTGGGTCAGCGTCTGTACTACAGCTGAGGCCCTGCCAATGTCAGTCGCCCACTGCACCAGCCTAAGAACTCCACCTCCGCCAGAGGCGTAACACTGCCGTCCACAGCGTTAGGGCGGCACGGTGTCCATGTCCACATGGCGCTACTCCTGTTGGTGGTTAGCCCAGCGCTGAGGGGCCCCGGCGGGGACCCCCGAGCCCAGCTGCCAGTTCGGGCTGTCAGTGCCAGGGCCGGCGAAGGGGGGCAGTTGCAAGCCCAGTGCATGTCCGTCAATGCTGGAGGGAGGGACCCCTGCTTTTGGTGCCCCAGCTAATTCAGTCGGGCATGCTCCAGGGGAGGATGCACACCGCTGACCGACGGAGCAGGGTGCGGACGTGGACTGTGGTGGTTCCCCGAGCCCAGCTGCCAGTTCGGGCTGTCAGTGCCAGGGCCGGCGAAGGGGGGCAGTTGCAAGCCCAGTGCATGTCCGTCAATGCTGGAGGGAGGGACCCCTGCTTTTGGTGCCCCAGCTAATTCAGTCGGGCATGCTCCAGGGGAGGATGCACACCGCTGACCGACGGAGCAGGGTGCGGACGTGGACTGTGGTGGTTGTACATCGATTTAACTGTAGCTGACTTAACTCTGCAGCGTAGACAAGCCCCTAGTCAGTTGACCTGAGACTTGCTGCCGCAGTGTAGACATCCCCTGAGTTCATGGATGTGCAGGAGGAAGGAAAAGACTCTTTACCGTCCCCACTAGTGCAAG